AGGGTAGGACTGTATGCGTCCGTGCCCATGTGTGTCAGTGTGCATGTGTGTGTGTGTCCATGTGACAGCAGCTGAGAACTCTTGTCTTCGGGCTGTAAGCAGCTGGGGTGCGAATTTCCCTGAGGGTCTCCATCTCCCTGCGGTTCAGGCCTCCCTTCTCAGGAAATGCAGCTTCTTGCCTCTCCATCCCCACCCCAATCGGCTACCCTTTCCAGAAGAAGCCTCTGTGGCCCCAGCTGCAGAATGGCAGCCAGGCAGCTGTAAGAAGCCAGAAGGCAGAGGGTCCAGAAAGGCTGGGGCACCCCAGCTTAGCTGAGGACGTTGACCACTGGGGGATGAGTGGAGTCTGCTGCCTGATGGGTAAGCCTGGCAATTCTGGGCAGGAAATGGGGTACAGGCTCTCCAGAGAAGCCTTCTATAGCTATGTGCACATGCATACGCATGTGGGAGTGTGCATGTGGGTGTGAATGGGACAGTCCCATTCACACAGGACAATCCACACCCCCAGGCCGCACCATGGAGCCCAACTGGGCAGTGACCCCAGATCCCAAGTCGTTCTTCAATTCACCTGTGTCTTGGGACAGTCCACCCTTCTTCCAGGCCTCCTCAGGGTGGAGTGTCACTTCCCCAAGTTGGCTCCAACCACTATCAGCCCTTAGTGCCCACAGTGGGTGTTACCCATAACTAGTTCGCATCTCAGAATCAAGAAAGTTTTTTATTGAGGATGTTTTGTTTTATTTTGTTTTGTTTTATTTTATTTTATTTATTAAAGATTTTATTTATTCATGATAGACACACAGAGAGAGGCAGAGACTTAGGAGAGGGAGAAGCAGTCTCCCTGTGGGAGACCGATGTGGAACTCAACCTCAGGGCCCCAGAATCACCCCCTGAGCCAAAGGCAGATGCTCAACCACGGAGCCACACAAGTGCCCCCATTGAGGACATTTCGGAGGGATATCCCCACTCTCCCCATCTGGATACCGCCTCCCCCAGGGACCTCCTGGAGCATCCTATAAAGGATCCCCACCACCCATAGGCCCTAAGCCCAGAGAAGCAGGGTTAGCAAGCTTGGGGAAAGGGGTGGAGCCCTGGCCGCCCTTAGAAATAATTCCTGTGTTTGTGTAATCACTTTTCTAGGTCCTTCTGCTAGAGGAGGGCAGGACCGGGTCTTCACTGAGGTCCTCCCACAAAGCGCCCAGCACAGGATAGTAGCTGCACCAGAGCTATTGAAATAGATGAGCATGAGGATGGACCAGTTGGTAAACACATGGATTTTGGCAACACGAAGCCTCCTGCCCCGTGGCCCCCTTGGGGGCCACATCCTCACTCCCCAGCTGGTTGGGAGGCTACCATGTGGGCATCAGCTGAGTCAGGCCCTAACCCCAGGCAAGGGGCCACCATGGCTCTTGCTGATCTTGCTGATGGGGCCAAAAATGCATCTGCATCTCCCTCTGCAAACCCCCCATTACTCATAGTTGGCGTTTATCCCCAAGCAAGGGGTGACCCGCACGGAGCAACCCGGAGCCTCCTGTGCGTTCTGAGCAAGGGGGACCACAGACTGGATGGTGAGAAGGCACAGCAGGAATTGTGAACAGCTGCTCTGAGTTCAGTGACCATATTTTTCTGAGCAGAGAAATGAGGACACAGGATCTAGCTGAGGGTTTTCCCAGATTTGTCTCATCAAAGGTATGAAAGTTAAAGCTCATTTAGCTATGTGGGTAATGGATCGTCTTTGTTGAAACAAATCCGAGTTTCCAAAATCAGGGAGATTCTGGAAGTTGATAATTCAATTTGATGGATATTTTGGCAGTACCTGGGTCAACCTGTCCTCAGCGCTTGCACTATAGCGAGGAGCAAAACAGGCATGATCCTGGCCTTGTGGAGCTCATGTGGGGTGGCTGACATTCCTCAAGTAATCGCACAATTCAGTACTGTGAGTGTATATGGGAAGTGCTATGGGGGGAGGGGCAAGGTTCCCAAGTGGATGGGTGTGGGAGTGTCCAGGAAGACTTCTCTGAAGAAGTAATATCTGAGGTGAGACAGGGCCTTTTAGCATTAATTGTTGGAGGGATGGGAGTAGAGTGGGGTGGGGAAAGCATATTTCAGGCAGGAAGAAGAGCATATGCAAAGGGCCTGTGGTAGAAAGGAGTGCTGGGTGTCTGAGCGAAAGGAGGGTGGTCCTGGTGACTTGAACGTGCTGAGTGACAGGAAGAGGATGTTGGAGATGTTGGCAGGGGCCAGTCAGGCAGCACCCACCAGTCTATGAGCGTGGTAGACTTTCTTCTGCCAGCAGTAGGGAGCCATGGACTGTCTGACACAGACGTGAGCTGACTAGTCATGTGGATATTGTGATAATGAGGCTAATGCTAGGTAATTTCTAGGTAATTCTAGAAAGTCTTGAGGGAGTGCTTGAATGTGCCAAGCACCATCTCAGCCATTCTCCAGGTGAAAAAATGAGGGCAGGAGGGGAAGAGGGAAGTGATTTATCCAAGGTCACACAGCCGGGGGCGGGGGGGGGGGTGGAATGGTAGAGATGGAACTCAGCCTGAGTCCATCTGGCTCCAGAGGCCCCACTCCTTCCCCACACCTAAAGCTGCCCCCATCTGGAAATGAGAGGCCCAGAGACCTGCCGATGACACCCGCCCTGCACCCTCCCTGCGCCATGCCTCGCTGTGTAGTGTTGACTCTGCTCTGCTCCGTGTCCCAGGCCAGGGCAGAGACTCTAGGTAACAGAGTCAGCCAGCACTGGAAAGGCCCAGCTCAGTTCCTGTCAGGCCTAGTGGGGCAGGGGCAGGCTGGAGGTTGGAGGCAGGGAGTAGAGATTGCAACATTAGAGACAGTGGTTCTGGAGAAGTCAGGACCCAAGGAGGGCAGGGCCTCCACTCTAGGCCGTTCACGGGGGTGCAGGTCACGCAGCATCCCCGGGAGCAGAGCCTCGCTCACCTGGTGGGGAGCTAAGGACTTGGAGATGTGGGTGAAGCATCCCCAGGAAGGGGGCAGCACCCCAGACCCTGGCACCCTCCCATGGAAGCAGGACCTGATGATTGCACCATTATAGACTCACCAGCGGCATTTTAAAAACTTTTTTTTTTTTCATTTTAAAAATTCTTATTCCCCGAGTGATCATCAGAGAAATGAAAATGAAAAGCACATGAGATAATACTTCACAGAAGATCACCAGTGTTGGTGAGGATGTGGAGAAATTGAACCTCGTGCCCCAATGGTGGGAATGGGAAATGGGGCGGCCCATGTGGAAAACAGTATGGCGTTTCTTCAAAAAAATTAAAAATAGAATTACCATATGATCCAGCAATTCCACTTCTGGGCATATACCCAAAAGAACTGAAAGCAGGGGGCTCAAGCAGATATATGTACACCCGTGTTTGCTGCGGCATTATTCACCATAGCCAAAAGGTAGGAACGACGGAAGTGTCTGTCCACAGGCATGTGGATCAACAGAATGTGGTCTGGACCTGCGATGGAATACCACTCAGCCTTAAAAAGGAAGGCAGTTCCGGCACATGCTTCAGTGTGGATGAACCTTGGGGACGTTGCGCTAAGTGAAATAAGCCAGACACAGGACAAATACGGCATGATTCCACCTGTATTAGGTCCCTAGAAGGGGCAAGGTCACAGGGGCAGAAATAGAATGGTGGGGGCCAGGGCCTGGGGGAGGGATGGGGAGCAAGTGTTTCATAGGGAAGATTTGAGCAAGATAACGAGAGTTCTGGAGATTGATGGGGTGACGGCTGCACAAGCTTGGGAGCGTACTTACTGCTACTGAACTGCATGCTTAAAAGATGGGGGCACCTGGGTGGCTCACTGGTTGAGCATTTGTCTTTGGCTCAGGTCGTGATCTCGGGGACCTGGGATCGAGTCCCACATCGGGCTCCCCATAGGGAGCCTGCTTCTCCCTCTGCCTATGTCTCTGCCTCTCTGTGTGTGTGTGTATCTAATGAATAAATAAATAAAATATTTTTTAAGTGGTTAAGATGATAAATTTTTAAAAATTTCTGGGGGCAGCTTGGGTGGCTCAGTTGGTTAAGCATCTGACTCTTGGTTTTGGCTCAGGTCATGATCTCAGAGTCATGGGATCCAGCCCCGCATTTGGCTCTGAACTTAGCATGGAGTCTGCTCAAGATTCTCTCCCTTCCTCTCCCCCTGCCCCTCCCACTGGTGTGCTCTCTCTCTCTCTTTCTCTCTCTCAAATAAATAGAATCTTAAAAAAAAAATACTTATTCTAAGTTCTTTCAAGTTGCCACTGGTGGACTTTCTTTTCAGTTGCATTTATAAGAAATAAATTAAAATACCAGATGGGAGTTATCATTAGAGCAGTTAAGAGTCACAGATGCTGGTGTGCCTGGGCAAGTGACTTCACTTCTCTGAGCTTCATTTTTCCTCATGGGGCCTTGGGGATCAAGACATTGCCTCCTTCCTGGGGCCACAGAGGATCCCATGGTACGGCATGATGTCCCTGAGATGGTCCACTGAGTGGCCGGTGTTCCTTGAGCGCTCAGCATCCAGCAGCCCTCAGTGTGGGCATATACTTCTCAGGCCTTTGTAGTTTGGGAGTGAGAGCAGCATAGGCCCTGATAAGTGGAGATAACGACCTCTTGCCCCACTCTGCATAGGGAAAAACTGAGGCCTGGAGGAGTCAAGGGACTCGCCTAAGGTCTGTTGGCATCCCTTGAACCAGAACATGGCCTCCCAAATCTGTAGGGGTCCGAGTCCAAGTCATTCTCCAGGGTAATTGCCCTCCAGGTGAAAGCGCCCAGGGATCAAGGCTGCCTCTGTTTTGTGGTACCTCCATCTACCGGTGACTGAGGCAGGGAAAACCACATCCTATCACTTCCTCCCTCAATTCACTGATCAGCATGGGTCTCGTGGCCTCACCCGACGCAAGGGTGGGAGGTCCCAAGAAAGAGAGAACTGGCTGTGGGTGAATATCAGAAGTTGCTACTCAGCATCCTCGTGGGATGAAGGCCAGTGGAGAGCACGCTCACAGTAAACGGAGTCAAAGAGCAAAGGGTTTAAAGCTGGGAAGATTCCTCCTCCCATCCGACCCCCCACCCCCTTCCTGGGTCAGAGCCACCCTTATCCTGTGGATTCTGTGAGCTTGCAAGCCGGTGTGTGTGCAGGTGACCCTTCTGAAATACAAATGAAGGCTTATTGTTTTTTTTCACTCCTTGAGGAATCAGGTGAGTATTTGTCATGGCCTCTTGCTCTTCCATCAGGCAGCGCCTTCACATTTATATAATCAGGCTCCCGGGATGGGTGTCTAGATGGTTTCTGAAGTTCTGCTGTTATCAACAGTGATGCAATGGATTTCCTGTGCATTTTCCCTTGTCACCCGTGTGAGTGTTTCTGTGGTATAAATTCTAAAAATAGAATCGCTAGGTCAAAGGGCAGGTGCATTGAACAATCTGACAGCTCTCTGGCAGCAGGTGCTGCTTCCAGGGTCAGGAAGAGCTTTTAAGAATAGTTGCTAACGGAGCCTGGTGAGTTCCAGGGACAGGGTGAGTTCTCTGTCCTGGGGTGGGGTTGTGGGGCCAGTTTCCAGATGGGCCACAGAGGAAAGGGAGCAGGAAGAGGGGATGCCCTTCCCATCTTGACTCTCCCATCCCAGTTCTAACACTAGTGTTCTGCTGTGCCCATTTTACAGATAGTGAACACTGAGTTCTAGAGAGGTTGAGCACTTGCCTGCAGCTGCCCAGAAAGTAGCATTTGAGCCGAGGTTCCAGTCTGGGCTGAGTTCTCTTGGATCCAAGATCTCACCTCCTAGCTGGAGACCTCCCGGATCCTTTCTTTATCGGCTCCTCTCAAAGACACTCATGTCTCCCAAGAGCTCTCTTTCGGGAAGTTTCTGAAATTCATCTTCACTTCCTCAGGGTCTGGCAGGGTCCAATTCTTTGGCTCCTCCTGGGTGGCCCGCCATGTCAGGGTCTCTCTGGCAAGGTAGAGGGAGGTCACCCCCAGGCTGTTTCGGCCACGCCTCCCTCTTGGGAGGACCTTCACTCTAGGGAAGAAGGGTCCACAGCTCAGGATCAGGGCCTGGCCTTATTTCTCTGGGAGGAGCCATGACTTGGGCAGCACAGTGGTGGTGTTCCTAGAACCCAGTACAATGCAGATGTGACAGGGAGAGAGATTAAGGAAAACAGGTGCATGGGGACCTAAGTAGCCAGCCATGCACTGGGGCCTCTTAGAGGCACGAGGGCTCTGGAATTTTGGGAACAATGTCTATCGGGGAGTGGCAGATGTGGCTGTCACCCCCAGTGGAGATGGCAGGCGCCCCTGGGCTGAGGGCTGGGTATGTGGGGGACACAGCAGTGCCTACACAGGGGTACTCTGCCTGGGGCCATGGTTGCCTCATTAGCACCTGTGAGTCCTTCCTGGGGACCAAAGAAACCCTTGGGCACAGCTTGACAATGACCATGAGCAGGACAAGGGCAAGAGCCAATGGCACACAGGGGTGACTCTGCTACCTCTTTAGGGGAGGGTGGTCAGCGTCAGGAGCACGGGTCTTGGAGTCAGACAGATGAACCCGTACTGGCTGCACAATTTTGAGCTCCAGTTTCTCATCCACTTAGGTGGGCCCATAGTCGGGACTGAACACAAGGACTTTGACAACTTTCTGGGCCCTGCAAGTCCTCAGATAGGCCTCCCGACATTGAAGCTGTAGTTCGGGTTTTGTCTGCTTTTTCCTGGGGTGGTGGATGGGGGAGCACTGAGTTACATAAGTGGGGGGACTTCAAGAAGCCCCAACTCCCAGTCCCAATTATTTTAATTTAATTAGGAGTTCCTGGCTCCTAATTATTTTAAAACAGTGGATTTCAAACTGGTTTTTTATACCCACTTTCCAGTCTCGATCTTGTTCTTTATTCCTTCTCAAAATAAATCTCACCCAGGTGATCACTCCTAAATGAATCAGGGAGGCCCTCATCACCCCCATTCCCAGTAACACCCTAGAGCGTATGAATGGCTTGAAAATCACTGCTTTAGGCCAACAGAGGTGTGACTGGCCACAGAAGTAGAGTGGCAGACAGGTACCCAGCAGAGGGTCTTCTTCCCGAAGCATTTCTCACTGTGCTTCTGCAAAAAGACCACAGAAGGCAGGGAAGTCTTCGGATGAGAGATGGGTGTTTCAGAGGATCCTAGAGGGCCTGAGGTCACTGGGCTGGGTCAGGCTGGGCACCCCTTCCCTCCAGGCAGCACCAACATGGTGACAGAATGTTCCTGTGGGAAGCACAGGCAGCTGGGTGAGGACACCCCTCTGCTCTGCCAAAGCCAGACCCAAATGAGAGCTGAAAGGAATCTGGAACCCTCACCCCAGAGGACTGGGCTGGGCTGAGGTCAGATAGCAGGGGCAGAACTCAGGCCCCAATGCCCAGGCCTATGTGCCCAGAAGGGGAAGGCCATTTGAGGGGAGGCTGCCTTCTACCTACAGTCACGGGAGAAAGGATGCAGATCCTTGGCAAAGGCTTGCCTGAGGCTTCTGGGCTGGTGACAGGGGCAGGGGAGCTCTTTGGTGCTGACCACTCCCTGACCCGGGAGAAGTTCCTGCCTCCTCTCTCTGCTGCACTTTATTCTGGGCAACCTGGAGGCTGCCTGGGGTGGAGGCAGGGGTAGTGGGGATGGGAGATGTGGAGCAGACACCGACCTATGCACAGCATGCAGCAGTTAGTACCCCTGTGGAGCCCAGGCTCCTCTTCTCCTTGGTTGAGGGGAGGGGGCATCACTGGCCCAGTTCACAGACCAGGAGCTGGGTGCAGCACACTAGGACTTGGGCCCTGACCCTCCCTCCCTCCCCTGCCCTTTTGCCTGATTTTTAGGAACTGGCCTTATACCTTTACTCATCCTGTGTGCCTCATAAGCTGTGGAGATTCTCAGAAGGGCCTTGAAAGCTTTCAGACTCCCCAACAGACTTGAGAGTGGTTTTGGCTCTTGAGAATAGGAAGTCAGTCCCCAGGCCCATATTACAGAGGAGTAAAGCGAGGCCAGCCAGCCGAGGTTCTCGAGGTTCTCGGGGCAGCCTGTGGCCTCTGGCTCCAGCCTGGGGCCCTCCTGGGACTGCGGACCCTCTCAGCCCAGCTCCCACATTCCCCCACCCCAACTCCAGTGTCCCCAGTCCTCTGGAGGAAGATTTCCGAGATCCCGGTTGGGGGTGCCAGACTGCCAGTGACGAGTGTTTTTTTAATCCCAGCCCCGCTGACTTAGACGATTATTCTTATTTAAGGCAGGGACGAAACGCCAGAGCGTGGCAGCCAGTCACCTCCGGGCGGCGGCCCCTCCTCGCCAGCCTCCGGGGCCCAGCTCCAGCCGGAGCAGGAAAGGGAGGGGGGAGACGGGAAGCAGGGGGGAGGAAGGGGGGGGAGGAGAGGGACCGAGGAGGAGGAGAATGCAGAAGGGGCTGGACACGGAGAGGGGAGGAGGGGGTAGGAGAGGGAGGTGATATAGGATAAGGAGTGGGACGAAGAGGGAGTAGGAGGGCAGAAAGGGGCAGGAGGGAGAGGACGGGGAGGGGGGAGGAGAACGAACAGGGAGGGAGGGGGCGGCGGAGGGAGAGCATAGGAAGGAACACCCCCCTTGGCAGCTCCCCAAGCAGATAGGAGGAGGGAGGGAGATACACAGATGAATAATTTACTACAGAAATGCAAAAAGAATTTAGAAACTCTCAATTTATAAATATTTATTTTCACAAGTTCGCCCCCTCCCGACGCTCTCCCCCTTGCTGGCCCTGGTCTCTTCTTTGCGGGGGGGCGGCCTCCACCTCCCCCTGCCTGCGCTGTCTCGGTCTCTCCCACGATCTCTCCAGCTGTCTCTGTCCCCGGCTTGGACTGTCTCTCCCGGGCTCGCCCTCACGGCCCCGGAGACTGGGGTGGGGGCGGGGGCGTGCCTTCGCGGCCGCGTCTCTATGTTCTCCACCTGGGTCCGCGACCCAAGTCTCCCCTGGCTTGCGCGCGTCTCTAACCCTGCCAGTCTCGGTGTCTCTCTCCGGGTCTCCGCCCGTGGGGGGTCTCTCCCGCCGAGGGAGCCCAGCCCCCGCCCGCCCCTCCCGGGGTCGGAGGCCGCCGGCTCGGGTGGAGCCCTCGCGGAGGGAGGGGGAACACTTTGAAGGCTCCGATGGGAGAGGTCGTTTCCCCGGCAACCGGCGGCTGATTGGCTGAGCCGCGGCGGATTAACGAGCCGACCCCGGGGGCGGGGCACGGAGGGAGCCACGCCCCCCAGGCGCGCCCCGGACGCGCCCCCTGCCCGGATGCTAAGCGCACCTGAGAGGGGGTTTTGGAGACTGCTGGCGGGGCTACGGGGGCAGAAGGGGGCTTCCTGGGAGGCCCGCCTGGAGGCGGTTCCGCGGCGGGGACTCGGTCAATCGCTAACCAATCGATTAATCAATTGGTGGAGCAGTCAGGTCCCCAGAGCAGGAGTTAGGAGCTGGGGGTGTGGAATGAGATGGAGTTCTCCTCCCCCCGCCCCCACCTTCCTAACCCTGGGTCCCTAAGGGAGTAGGTCCCTGCACACCTCCCAGGCTGGGGTCTCCCGGGTGCGCCCTGGGGTTACGGCAGCCCCTGCCTGCATCACTCGCCCTCCGCCCCTTTAATTCACAGATGGAAAATGGAGGCCCTGAGACTGGAAGCCCCTGGAGGTCACCGAGGGACCTGGGAGGGTCACTGGCCATTTAACAAGCTCAACAGAATTTCCTACTGGGCATGCTTTCTGTGAGCCGGAACCTGGACTAGAGATGACCCCGCCCTTGACAGCACCTGACCCCCAGAAACAGTCCTGGGTTTGTGTTGTATCACCTGCTCCCTTTGTCTCTCCTCTCCTCCAGGTGTGGGGAAACTGAGTCCCAGAGAAGCCAGCTGGATGGCACAGTTGCCGAGACCCAAAGTTGGATGCCAGGCCCTCCCCTTAAGCTATTTCTGAGCCTGACGTGTAAGCTCCAGAGAGCTGGGGAGAGGGAAGCTTTTTTGTTAATAATGGAGGAATCCTCAGGCAGCGTCCTCAGGGTCACCAGCTGGAAGGGTCTCTTGACACACACTCCCACTCCCTGCAACTTAAAACCAAGTGTGTTATTTAATATGCGAACTCTGGTTGGTTTGTTGGAGCACAGCCCTCTTACAGGCATCAGCTCCTCCTCCTCCAGTGCCTCCCTCCTGAAGCTGGCTGGTGGTTGTACTGGAAGATGGTGAAAGGGCTGGTGGAACATTCCCCCAGGAAGGTCAGGTAAGTCACCACGAAGGTGGTTCTTTATCATTGCAGCGGACCCTTTAAGCCCCATGGCTGGGGCTGCAGCTCTGTTTGAAGCTGGCAGCTCTAATCCTTCCAAATCAGGGTCCTGGGGTTGCTCCAGTGGCAAGGACAGGCCTGGCCTGCAGAGCTCTCACGGTGCTGAGTACAGCTGCAGGGCCACCCCTCCCTGTACCCAGCCCCCCATCCTGAGCAAGTGCACTCCCCCCACACACACACCATTCTGTGCTACAAACACAGAAATTCATCCTGTCTCCCCCAACATTCCCACATGGACCACATTGTGCATCTGAGGCCTGCAAACCCCTAGTCCAAGGCCTGACCTGCCCACACCAGCTATTCTGCAGGAAGAATTTTTCCAGAACCCTGTGGCCCTCTTTGAAGGTTCTAGACTCTTTGCCACACAGCCTCAGAACCCCAGGACCCCCCAAGTGTATTTAGAACCTGGGCCCATCTAGGAACTGACCAAAAGGACGGGTGGAAGTATGCTGGTGAGTGGTTGTCAGGTGTTGAAGGAGGGGAGTGGGTCTACGTGCACATTGTGGTCCAGGGTTCTCCATGCTTGAGCTTGTCCCTGCTGGAAGTGTTCTCACTCCTATTTTGCAGATGAAGGCAGTGGGGCTGGGAGACGTAAACCACCCAAGATTCTCTAGCTACCAGGAGGAACGGCTGGGCTTTGAGCAGTCTCTGGGGCCCAGGCCCCATGTACCTCACCAACCTCAGGTCTCCCATCTGTACAATGGGTGAGCTCAGCAGCACCTGCCAGTGGTGCTGACCCTCCATGCTGGTCACTTGCAGCCTGAGCCATTCAAATACATCCCACCGTCTTTTCTCTAATGTTGGTTTGGGGTTTCCTCTGGGCCTTCTGGGGTTGCAGACAAGGCACAGGGTAGGGAGCTGAAGCCTGGGATCTGGGATCTAGTTCCACAGTGAGTTGTGTGGCCTCGGGCAAGGCCCTCTAGCTCTCTGGCCTTTGGTCAAAATAAGGGGGCTGTGTTCCCTATTTTCTGAGGATCCTTCCAAGTAGAATTAGTCGAGGATTCTGAGTCTTTCATCCTCCACCAAACCTCTCTTGGGCAGCAGTAACTTCACAAGGCTGTGCTTGGGTGCAGCAGGCAGGCAGTGAGCTGCAGGGCAAAGGGGGACCCACTCTGCTGGAGGCATGGGCAGATAATAATGACAGCCAGTTTATTCAGCCTGCACTGTCTGCTCTACCCCGTTCCTGTTTGTCTGTGCAACAGGCTCATGCACTTGTTAGCAATACTGTCCCCATTTCGCATGTGAGAAGCTGGGGCCCATAGAGGCAGGTATCCATCCAAGTTCATCCAGCTGGCAAGTGTGAGCCCAGGCAGATCCCAGGCTTGGACAATGCAGCCACCTTGGGGCTATTAGAAAAGTCCTCGTAGTGGAGGCCTCTTAGAAGCTGAGTCTAGAAGGATCTTCCTGAGTGGAAAAGGTGGTTGAGGACACTCCAGGTGGAGGGCATGCCCTGTATGGGGGGATGGTGAAGCAGGGGAGTACCACAATGCTGTTGGGCCTGAAGGGCTAGCGTGGGGTGGTGGGCAGTGAGGATGGGGTGGGCACCTCCTGTCCCCCGGGGGGTCCTGCAGGACGCTGTTCCAGTTTGCTGCTGCTGTGTGACAATCCGCCTCCAACGCAGTGGCTTGTGTCACAATAGTTAGTCTCTCGTGTAATGCTGGGGTTGACAGGGCTCAGCTGGGAGGTCCTGACTTGGGGTCTGTTCTGTGGCTGCAGTCAGATGGGGTCATCTGAAGGCTCCACTGGGCTGGGTACCCAAGGCAGCCTCATCTTGGGGTTTCCTCTGCCCTTTCCAGCAGCCAAGGCTGATTCCTTATATCAAAGCTCAAGGTTCCGAGAAGCCGGAGGTGAAGCTGCCAGACTGGTTAAGGAACTGCTCCTGCATCACTTCCTCCAGGCCCTACTGGCCATGTGGCCCAGCCAAAAAGAAGGGAGTCCCCTCCCCTACCCCCCACCCCATGATGGCAGTGCAAAGCCTCTGTGGCCCTGTTCAATCTGCCCTAGATGCTAATATATACTTCATAGAAAAAGTAGAGTCTGTAGCTAAATATGCTTTAGGAAAGGCTGGATTAAGCAAAATCGAATAGGGTTCTGTCCTGCAGGACTTCTCAGAGCCCTCACATGCTGATGTGGTTGCCTGGCTCTAATATAGGGAAGGAGCTTGTAGAAGTTCTCAGCTAATTTTGGTTTGATGGCCAAGGGAGTCACATCTTGGGTGGGAGATACTCGACCTAGGAGGCTCGGGAGTCTGAGGCTCCTGGTGAGCACCGGATCTCTGCACCTGAACTTCCAGATCTAGCCTCCAGAGTACCAGGCACAGATATGATGAGATGAAGCTGGGTCTGTCTGTGGCTGCTGCCACCCTCCAGGGACACCTGCCAGCCAGGGTTATCTTCCCTAGCAGGCTGGGCCTGGTCGCACCAGCTCAGGTGCGGAGACTACAACCTTGCATCACCGCCCTCCCCCTTCTCTTCTGCCTTCCTGACCCTGAGGAAGGGGCTTCCTCCCTTGGGCCTCCTGGCACTCCCATCTCTGGGGGCCTAGTTGGGGGCAGCTGAAGGGTCCTCGCTTCCTGACTGTGCGAACTTGCCGCAGTCTCCACCCAGGCTGAGCCTCTGTTTCCAGTTCACTAGTGTAGGGTGATGAAGGCTCCTCTCACCAGTAGTGCGTGAGGACACTTCTCAAGGAGCCAGTCTTTACAGTAGGGGTGGGGGTGGGGGGGTGGGAGGCAGACCCTGTACCCAGGAAGTTTCAGGCTCTAGCTCATGTCATTCTCTCTGGGCCTCAGCGTCTATAAAATGGGGATGACAATGGTACCCACTGCATGAGGTTCAGTGAGGAGTGGCTGGGTAAGAGGCATGGAATTAAGAGATGGAGATCCAGTCCAAAGGTCTCGACCACAAAAGCCTACATGTACCCTGGTCCTGGCTGCTGGCAGAGTGGGCCCAGTGGGTGGGGCTACAGTTTGGGCCGCTCTGCTGGGTGCAGTGCCTGCATGACTGGCACCTGGTGGGCTTCCCACAGTGCATCCCCAGGGAGCAGGGGAGCCCTGCCAGTGAGCTCCGAGGTTTGGTTCGTCCCCCTCCCCCACTCCACTGGCTGCTTCCCCTTCCTCCCCTGGTCCTGGGCCAGGCCCAGCTGCCACCGCTGCTCCAGGAGGCCTGGCAGAGGCAGAAGGGGGAGGGCTGGCTCCTGGGGAGCAGAAGTCACCAAGTGCAGCCCCTGTTCAGCCCTCCCTCCCTGGCCCAGGCCAACAAAACCACCCTAGGAACAGTCTCTGAGCCTCTCAGATGGACCCCATCACCCTCCAGCTTGGGCCTGGGATACCAGCCCTCAGTTTCTCCCTCTGTATGACCCCAGAGATTTTGCTGCCTTGAGTGGCTGGGGGGAAGGATTGTATGAGATGCTGCCCTGGCCTCAGCTGAAGGCAGCTCCAGCACAGTGCAAGTGGGTGCCTGCTCCCCCATCAGGGATTCTAGCTGGAGCCTGAGGGGTGGGGCCTGGGGGCAGGAGCTGCAGGAATAGCTGGGGTATGGGACACCAGGGCATCCTGGAGAGAGAGGAGTGCTCAGGTGGGTCTTCTATACCAGCCCCTTGGTGCTGCCCACAGATGGTAAGTCCCCATACTTCACAGTCCATCCTGGAAGCCATCCCCCACCGCATGCTCCCAGCCTCCTTGCCTCCTCTCCTTCTCTCACCTCCCCCAGCCCGCAGCCACTCTTACTCCCTGGGCACATCAGCCCGCACCCCCGTACCCTGGTCTGCTCCTCCTTCACTTCCCACCTACGGTACTGGCTCCAGTCTCGGACCACCCATCCTACCTGGCCCTGCAGGCCCCCAAGTCCCAATCAGGGACTGAGGCTGCTAGCAAAGTATGGCTCAGTCCATCCCTTCCTGCCCACTCCCCACTCCTTCCCTGGGGCTCATCCTCCTTTCCTGCTCTCTGTTCTCTCTGCAGTGGAGCACTGTATTTAAAATACCCAATTTGAAGTCACGCCTAACCAGTGCCCACCCCAGCTATGCTGTCTCATGGTGCTGAGCCTCAGTTCTCCCATCTGCGAAATAGGGAGAAGGGCAGCAGGGCCATCCTAGGGCCTTATAAAGATTAAGTGAGGAGTGATTTCAGGTCCTTGGATGGGATGGGAGTTCACGGAGTGTCCACTATTGACATTGCCACAGCTGCTGTGTGTCACCCAGCCTGGCCTGTTGTGATCACCCCGAATCTGCAGCTGGGTCTCCTCACTGCAACCAGCTGCTCACAGCCTGAATCACTTCGTCATCGAGCAGAACATTCACTGGCTCCCCATCGCCACTCCCGGGACATAAAAACTCCAGCTAATTTTCAAAGCTCTTCACCTGTCTGTCTGGATTTTCTGGAGAGGCTGCCTTGACTAGTGGCCCAAAAAGGCCTTCAAGGAGGACTAGGTTTCCTTCCAGCTGACCCCTCACTCACTGCTCCCCATATGTCCCCCCACAGGGAGCTGGGTGACAAGGTGGGTCACTCACCTCCAAGAGCCACTAGTTCCCTTGGCTGCAAAGTGGCACTCATTATACCAGCCCCCATGGTGATGGTCCTGTTCCTGGGAGCTGTGGGGGGCAGGGAGACACTGGGTGTGTCAGGCATGTGCTGGGCACTTGAGGAGGGGCCACCCAAGCCCCATGGCCCACTCGGTCTAGCCCACAGCCCTGCACTACGACTCTGGAGTGAGGCCAGAATCCTTGTCTTCTCAGGATTCCCATCGTTCCAGGCTGAATATTACCCTGATTGTGTTGTAGGGAAGGGAAGAGAACATTTGTTCTTTTTTAAAAAAATAACATTTTTCTCCATTTACAAAAGTAATACATGTTAATTGTGGATAATTTTGAAATTAAGATAAACCAAAGAGAAAATTTTAAATTATCTATAATTCATCACCCATCTAGAAGCACTTTGAGCA